TTATAAAAAAAAAATTGTGATGGTGAAAAGATGGCTTTAGTGTTCAAAGGGTTAAACCTTTTCCCGCCAAAAATCTTTAGTGGCAAGTGAGTCAAGCAGTTACCATTTTTCTTGATTGAATTTAATTCATTCTGTAACCATTTTCTGTTTTTTTTGAGTAATAGATGTTGCATATTTCATTTATGAACACTAAACTAAATTTTTGGGAAAATTCAAGAAATTTGAAAATTTATTGAGTGTTCATGAGTAAATATATTGTTGATGCAGTGAATATCGTACTTGCATCAAAACAAAACATTATTCCATCAAAAAGTTAAAAAAATAATTTTAGTGGGAAATGAACAGGCAAGGCAGCATATTTGTTAAAACGATATTGTCATTCTGTGGGGGGCATTATAGTTTATACGAATATGCTCCAATACTGGAAAAACATTTTAAATGATTTTGTTTTTTGAAAAAAAAAAATATTGACCAAAATCCTAAATACAATATATTTGGTTTGGGATGAGACAATAATTTATTAGATATTTGCACCTGCGAAGTGACCTGCTCTCCCTCTATTTTCAATGGATTTGTCCTAATGCATATGGACTTGGCTATTATTTTCAAGGGGTGGCAAGGTTACTGAAGAGGGACCAATTAGGCATTTGGCTAGTTTAGTTTTGCTTTGGTTAAAAAGTGCCCGAAAAAACATTTTTTGGAGTTTATGAAATACACACAGGAACGAAAATCTATGATCACCATTTTTGAACATTATTTTTCACAATAAACCCATTTTTTTCATGAATTGCCTGCAATTACTGTACATTTCATATATAATAATAAACAAAAAAAATACCAACATAAAAGTTGTTGAGACATTAAGCGGTCGGTTTATTGTTCAGTTGACACGCTACAAGATTTTATCAAATTGTCCCTCAGCCCATCCACCTTCACACCCCCACACACAATGTTGTAAGCCATAGAAAATTATGTACAAGTGAAGATTTCAATTCACTTCACTTTTTTTCATGGGAAACAGAATTTCTTTAGACTGGAATATTCATTGGAAATAGAAGTTTGTGAGCTTTAGCATTTTTACATTGAGTTGTTTTAGTAAAAACTTTATTTTGTTATTACTGACAGCAACAATAATCCAAAATGGTGGTTTCCAAAATGGTGCCATCCAAAATGGCCGTTTCCGAAATGGTGCCATCCAAAATGGTCGTTTCCGAAATGGTGCCATCCAAAATGGCCGTTTCCGAAATGGTGCCATCCAAAATGGTCGTTTCCGAAATGGTGCCATCCAAAATGGCCGTTTCCGAAATGGTGCCATCCAAAATGGCCGTTTCCGAAATGGTGCCATCCAAAATGTCCGTTTCCGAAATGGTGCCATCCAAAATGGTCATTTCCAAAATGGTGCCATCCAAAATGGCAGTTTCCAAAATGGTGCCATCCAAAATGGCCGATGGTAACATCCGAACTGGCATGCACAGTGACATGCAGAATGAATGCAGCCTCATTCTGTAAACACCAACTTCAACTTTTTTGTATTTCCTGAACTTGTATTTTGAACTTGTATTTTCGTGGCACTTTTTTTTGGTAATATAGACTAGATATTTTTATTACCCTTTGTCCAGTGTTTGTATGAAAAAAAAACTTAATAAAGTTGAACATTTTGTGTCGGGAAATTTTTAGAATTGTGTTTACAAGCAAAGATTTTGTTTATGTGTAAACATGGTGGTGTTTACAAGTTTAGCTCCTTGTAAATATTTATCTGAAACTCGTGTATAGTTGCTGACAACCAAAATGGCTGTTATTTATTATCAAAATACTATCAATAATTATCAACAAATATCAAGCGTTATCAAAAATTAAACGAATCTTGCCCAAAATGAAGTTTACAACAAATTTTTGATGAGTTTTTGTGACTTTGGGAAATAAATTTATTAATTATAATAATTGTCTTTTGAGAAAAATTATAAGGAATTTAAAGAATTTTGTCTAAAATGGTTTTATAGCAAAATTCTAACAAAAAATGTGTAGAGTGATTGTATTGATTGTTTTTTTTTCTTATTTTTGTTGATTTCTGAAGAAGCAAGTAATAATTTGTAAATTTGTAGGTATCTGAATTGTCTGTCCTCCTGGCTCCTTAGTGCAGTGATTTTGTGGTTGGAATAATTTTCCTATTCCTAAGTGGTCCTTTTTTCCCAAATGTTTGTAGTTTCATTCCTCCAGTGATATATTTCTTTATATAGGAGAAACACACTTGTTCTCATTCGCATATTGGAAGCCAGTTTTCATATTGAAAGAAAGCAAAAACAGGAAGCTTTTTTTTTCTGTGCGAATGGTCTGTTTTTACAAACATTGATTTTGATAGATTTGTGATTTGACATGACCTTTGAACCTTGACCTATCATTTGATGTGATTGTCTTCAATTATAAGAAATACTATAGTAGGTTTTTACCATCAACATTTCATTGTTTATTACATTTCCTTTATATTTTAATAAAATGAAGGAAGTTAAAAAATGTAAGAGTTCTTGTTTTATTTGCATACCATAAACTGTGCTCCCATATGAAAATTTCTGCTTACAACTCTTTTTGACTGCCCACAATGGGAGTCTTTGCAATTACCCTGTCTGTATGTATGTGTGGGTCTGTTCCACTGATATCTCAAGAACCGTATGTTGGTTTTTAATGAAACTTGGTGTATAGATGCTCTGGGCCAATGTGCAGATTTGATCAGGTTTTGGTTGAAATCCATACATATTACCTAATTTTTTGCTGTTCCTTGTTTAGCTCTGCTGTTGACTTTGTCTAGCGGAGCTTATTATACGAGTGATTGTCCGTCGGTGTCCGTCGTCGTTTGTGTCAAGCTTTTACTTTTTCGACTTCTTGAAAACTACATGCCTGAATGCTTTGATACTTGGTGTGTATGTACCTCGGGTAGACCTCTCTTAGATTTGTTCATTTCAAGATATCTTAAATTCTCTAATTTCGCTGAATGTTTTTGCCATTTTTTGGTAAAAAGTTATATTTTCATCTTCTTGTTGAATGCTGCAAGTCTGATTGCTTTGATATTATACACATAAGTAGTATAGGTAGACCTCCCTCAGATTTCCAAATGATATCTTCTGTTCTTTTTTTTAAACATCTGTTGTCTGTTACCAATTAGCGTGGAGCTGAATCAATTGAATAAACAGCCAATGTCGAGAGAGTAGCCAAGGTGTTAATAATGGAAGTACCGGCAAACCAAATTCTGTATTGGTATGTCTTTTCGGTTCATTTAGAGTATTTTTTTGTGGGACTTCGGCAGTCTGTAAATAACCCATTAAGTTCTTGTGTTCTTCTTGTAAAGGCGTGTTTGTTGTTCCCTGTCGCATACGACTTGTTTACCACTTCCGTGTGACTGAGAATGTTCTAGAACCGTACTGTGTCTGGGTGGAATTTTTAGAAGTTGGTTGAATAGGTAATAGGACACTGTAGAAGGCAATAGAAGGTAATGGGACATTCTAGAAATTTGTAGTAAATTGCAGAGTCATTATGTATGCTGATGTAATGGTCTATTTATAGACAGTGTATAGGGGAGTTGTTCAGCACTGAGATCAGATCGGAGATCTGGTTGAATTGTATTGGAGTTTAAGTATCTAGTTATTGGAGTAGTGGAGTTTTACCGCGTTATTGTACTTGATGTTTGCAGAGTATAATAATACCAGTACCAGTTGAAACCTCATCTGTTGGCTCCGTGTTCGTATGTTATCATCGCCGCCAGGGAAGTCTTTCTGTTACTGTTGCCATTTTGGTATTTGAACCATCACACCTGTACTATACCAATTACGGTAATATTACGTTGTGTGTGACATTCCCTCTCTGGACACCAGAAAGAATATTTGCTCTTGCACTTAACAATGGAAAGTTTATCGGCTTAAAAGTAGGATTTAGATTGCGCTATAATCCAAATCTCCCTTGGAAGTGTTGTAAGCAGAAACTATTGTAAGCCGACTGGGGATGACTTGTAGACGTGAGTGGCGCCCTCACAGGCCGAACGGCATCAAACCTCGCGAGCGCCTGACAGAACAGTGTACGTCTCATCGGCAAGATGAATACTGCGAATTCGCAAAGTTCACGTCTCTTTGCATGAATATTCATTTTGGTGGCGATGGTAACACCATCAATCAAAGCCATGTTTGCATTGTTGGCAAAATTAACAGGCTGTTTCCAACAAGATGATAAACATTGGGCGGGAATAAACTCTACTACTACTTTTTGATGACTGACGTTACTGCAATTTGATTGGCACTGACAAAAAATCGTTGAGTGAAGTGAAAAACTACATCCTTCTGTCAGACGTGTGTTGGATTTGTGGCACCGCAGAGGGCACAACCTTGTCAGGTGAAGTTCCCAATGATAAGTGAAGAACTTAGTCCATCATTTCTATTTGAGGTACAAATTTTGAAACAGATATATTTCCCCTCCAAGCATTTTGGTAGAATTCTTGAGTTAAATTTGTCCAATTACCATGCTGAGAATTCCTAAATGACCTTTGACATTTTATAGATATAATAATTCATTCTAATTGCATACACAATACTGTTTGCTGAGAAGAAAAACATAAAAACTACTGAATATTGACATATTACCACTAGAGGGCAG